GTCTGGATCCCAACCAGTGAACCCCGGACCACTGAAGCAGAATGTGGGAATTTAACCACTATCTCATCAGCTGGCCCCTATTTTATGTCTTTTAAAGAAACTGAGAGAAGAAAGAAGAGTATGTCTATATTTACAGAATTTGTTATGTTAACCTTATTTACTTTTTCTGGCTTTCTTCACTTCCTTTGTAGGTTTGAATTGCATCTGGTGTCGTTTCCTTCCTCCTTTACAGTTTTTCTCCTGCCAACATCCTTTGTGCTGTTATTGTAAAATATGCTACATTTGTACGTAAGTCTATCAAATACAATTTTATATGTATATACATACAGACAATGCAATTGCCTTTTAAATCAGTTAAGAGAAGAAAAGAGAAAAATGTACAATTGTCCTTAAGTGTACTGTCTTTCATAATTATCTATATAATTACATTTACTGGTCCTCTTTGTTTTTCTGAGTGGGTTCAAATTATTCTCTGATGTAACTTGCTTCATGCTGAAGCATTTTCTTTAGTGTTTCTTTTAAGGTTGGCCTGCTGGCAAAGAATTCTCTCAGTTGTAGTAATCTGGGAATTCTTTATATCACCTTCATCTTTGAAAGGTAGTTTTGCTGGATATAAGGCTCTTTTTGCTATTGTGGTAAAAATACATAAAATAAATGTATCATTTTTCTTTACTTCATTCAGTTTTCTAGTAATTGCATTTTAGAAAAGTGCTTTTTATTGTGGTAAAATGTATATAACATAAAATTCACTTCCATTTTAGTGACTTTTAGGCATACAGTTCAGCAGCATTAAGTACATCATAATGTTTTGCTACTGTCACCACTGCCCATCTCCAGAACTTTCTCATCTTCCCAAACTGAAACTCTGTACCCATGAAACATTAACTCTCCATTCCCTGCTATCTGCAGCCACCAATGCATTTTTTATCTTTATGAATATGACTACTCTAGGTAGCTCATATACATGAATCATACAATAATTGTCCATTTCTGTCTGGCTTATTTCACTTAGCATAATGTTCAACATGTTTCATCCATATTGTATCATTTCTCATTTCATTCCTTTTTAAGGCTGACCAATATTCCATTATATGTACCACATTTTGTTTATCCGTTTATCCACTGATGAACACTAGGGTTGTTTCCAACTTTTGGCTATTGTGAATAATGCTGCTATGAACATTGGTGTAAAACCAATGTTGGTGTAAAATATCTGTTTAAGCCCCTGATTTTAATTTTCTTCTGGTGTATACCCATAAGGAAAAAGGCTGGATCATATGGCATTCAGTGTTAAATTATTTGAGAAACCGCTATACTGTTTTCCACAGTGGCTGCAACATTTTACCTTTCCACCAGCAGCGCAGAAGTGTTCTGATTTCTCCAGCTCCCCACCAACACTGTTATTTTATGTCGTTTTCATAATAGCCATCCTAAGGAGTCTGAGTGTATCTCATTGCAATTTTGATTTGCATTTCCATAGCGCTTGCTAATGTGAAGTATCTTTTCACCTACTTATTGGCCATTTGTATATCTTACCGGGAGAAATTTGATTTAATCCCTTTCCACAGTTTTGACTACTGTGGTTAAATTTTTTCTTGTTAAATTGTAGGAGTCCATATAATCTCGATATTAATCCCTTATATACATGATCTGCAAACATTTTCTCTCATTGCATGGGTTGTCTCTTCACTATGTGGACAGTGTTCTTTAATGCAGAATGTTTTGTGCATAAAAAAAAGCTTTGCATTTTGATCGTCTTGTTTAACTATTTTCTTTCATTGCCTCTGCTTTTGGTTTGATACTCCAGAAATTGATGTCAAATCCAATGTCATGAGAGGCCCTCTGGTCGCACTGGTGGCTCCAGGTGGGTTTGGGCAAGTTGGGGCCGGGCCAGAGCGGCGGGGCCAGGGCAACTGTTGGGAGGCTCCTCTGGCAGAAGAGGACTCTGAGGAGCAGGAGCCGGGTTCCCAAAGACCTTCTGGCACGACGCCTCGGGCCACGTGCCCCCGCGCAGCCCAATCACCTACGATCGATCACCGGATCCAGCAGGCAGAGAGCCTGGAGAGCCCCTATACTTGCTCCCTGTCCAGTTACCACCCCTCTCCCCGTGCCCTCGTGCCCTAGGACTCCTGAGCTCTGGGTGCGCAGCGGGGCAGCGCACCCCAGGGTTTGGCGGCTGGCTGGTCGCGGTGGGGGCGGGAGGCTGTAGCAGGCAGGCGGCAGGCGGCGGAGCGCAGGCGCAAGGGGCACCGGTGGCTGGGGCGCGTCACACAGGCCTGGGGCTCTCCATAACCCGGGGCAAGGAGACACCACGGGGCTTCTTTAGTGGCTAACGTCTACTGCGCTACCACCCTGAATGCGCCTGTTCTCGTCCAATCGGAAGTTAAGCAGGTGGGGCCTGGCTAGTACTTGGATGGGAGACCACCGGGGAATACCCGGTGCTGTAGGCTTTCGCCTCCTGCTTGTGGTTCCCTCCTGTTTTGCAACCGCCCCCAACCAGGGTCCCTCCACACAGCTCTGGTCCCCACCCCAACCCGCTTATGCCCTCGGCTGTCCCCACCCCACCCCGGCCGCTGTCCAGCTGCTTAAAAATTTTCTAGGAGGGTAGAGCTTATCTGGAGTGCTCTTACCACATAAGGAAAAAGACAGCAAAGGGGCGGCAAGAAACTTTTCGAGGTGATAGACAGGTTTATGGCATTGATAGTAATGATAGATTCTTGGATGTGTACTTACCTCCAAACATACCAAGTCTTATACATTAAATATCTACAAGTTTTTGTATGCCAATCATACTTCTATAAAGTACTTTAAAAAGTTATGATTGGAAGTGTCTTCAACGTAGATCTAGCTCAGGGGATTTTTCTCAATAAAATGTTTTACACTAGTAGAATCTAGTGCATTTATCTCCACATCAGGGTTTGTCTTTCCCTGGGTACCATCTGTGGCTGGCCATGTCCAGCCTGGATTCATAGATTCAGTTATGAATTTGTGGTCTTCATTATTCTATTTGTCAAGCTCACGCTTCAATCACAGTGTATCTTAAATTAATATAGAGTTCACATGATTGGCTTATGTGTAATCAATTATTCTCAAGTCTTGATTAAAACCTTGAAGAGGCTCACCCTCCATAGTTCAACTCTCCAGGTAGCCCATTATTTCCATGTTCTGCAGCATCATGATCTTACACCCATGAGCCATTTTCAAGAGGATCCTAGGGCTTATCTGCCTCAATCTCCACATTTTATGGATAAGGTGATTTAAGTGTTTTGGGAAGTTGGTCAGTTAGTTGAAGGCAGCACCAGACTTAGAACCCAGGGCTTGTCCAAGGCAAAATGGCTCAGCGTCTGGGGCTGGCCCCGTGGCTGAGTGGTTAAGTTCGCGCGCTCTGCTGCAGGCATCCCAGTGTTTCGTTGGTTCGAATCCTGGGCGCGGACATGGCACTGCTCATCAGACCACGCTGAGGCAGCGTCCCACATGCCGCAACTAGAAGAACCCACAACGAAGAATATACAACTATGTACCGGGGGGCTTTGGAGAGAAAAAGGAAATAATAAAAAATCTTTAAAAAAAAAAAATGGTTCAGCGTCTGCTATTGGTCCCTTTGAGTTCCATTCCCACTGCCACTTCCCTAAACCATCGTAACAGTCTCTTTATCTACTTTCTTACTCTGCTCTTGGCTTTTCCAATCTTTTTGATAAAATGTCCACATCTATGTACAATAATACATAGCTAATCATAACACATCTGTGATTTTCTAGACGTTGTTGATAATTCTTCACTGTCAATAAGATGAAATCTAAACTTTGTAATAGGACTTGCAAGGCCAAGAATGATCCAATCATGGTGTGGAACATATTTCATAAAATGTATTTGTGATTAATTAACTCAGAGTTTGGGTTAAGAAACAAACACAAGAAACATTGAGTTAATCTTTTTAGAGGCATTCCTCTGAAGCAGCAAAGACACATTTCTACCCTGGAAATAGGAGGTCAAAATGCACAAAGGCTAAGGATTGAGATAATGGAAATTTGGGGTTAGAATAGATTACACTATCAATTAGAAGATAACCTTGTAGTTGACAACACAGGTCCACCAGGAAAAAGTGTTTGAGTCGCTTAAATTGTTATGATCAGTAATATGAAGTAGATAAGCAAATAACTTAGATTCCATCACCTTGAGTCTTTGAAAGAAATCATACTCTTTCCATATCTGTATGATTTCTTCCAGAGATTCATGGTTCCTTCCCCTAATAGACACACATGCAGTAGTAACAGCTTTAGGATAAGAAGCAATTATAAATATGCACCATGCATCTGAGGGGCTGGAGCTAGAATAAATAATTTAGAAAAATAGGAGTATTGGTCAGCTGTGGGATGCTTTAGGTTTTACCTCTCCTTAGAGAATGGTCCAATATGGAAACATTTCTATTTCTCTCCCGCAGGGGGAATGATGCATAAATGTGTAGCTACAACAAGGGCCAAAAACAGCAATTAGGAGCCCATCTGATGCAAACCATTTATATTCCAGGTGAAGGGTGCTATGACTATTATTTCCTTGTGCTAGGTGAGGAGGGGATGTGGACCTGAGCATTGTTACTATTTCCATTGGTTCCTTCATAACCACAACCTAATAAACAGTCTTCCATTATTTAAATTAATTAAATGTTTTTTATTAAATAGTTATTTGTCCTCTTGAACCACATGTATGGCTAGAGAGAAGTAAAATAAAAGAGTATAAATTACTAAGTTTTAAAAATTTCGACACATTCTTTAAATCAGAGGGGAGCATATAAATTCAGCAAAGCATTTTGCAATTAAAATAAATTGTTGTCAACATATGGAATATTTAGGGAGAGGTATGATTTCGCCTTGCAAATGCAGATTTCCATTTTTCTAAGAATGTGCAAACAAACACTGGGAACACTGTGGAGAGCTGCATTGGCTGGAATAAACATACGTGGTTCTCTGAAGACTTCCACTCCAAGGTCCTGTGACTTTATTTTATTTTGATATTTTGATTCTGCACATCATCTCTCTCAGAGCCTGGTGGACCTGCTTGTTCCGCAGAGTGTAGATGACAGGGTTCAGGAGCGGAGTCACCACTGTGGTCACAAGGGCAGCTCCCCTGTTAGATTCCAGCCTATTTGTTTGCTTTGGTTTCACATATATAAAGACACAGCTGCCATACATCAGAGAGAGGACAATGAGGTGAGAGGAGCAGGTGGAGAAAGCCTTCCGTCGCTCCTTGGCTGATGGGAGGCAGATGATGGTGACTACTATGTTGCTGTACGCAATGATGGTTATGATGAGGGATGTCAAAAGGATACACAAAGCGAGGACAAAAGTCAAGGTTTCAACAGATGTGGTGTCAGAACAGGAGAGATGGATCAGGGGGCCAAGATCACAGAAGAAGTGAGGGATGACATGGGGACTACAGAAGGATAACTGGGAAACCTTCACCACCAGACCAGTGATGAGGGTCAATCCCAAAGCAATGCAGGCAGTGACCAGGAGGAGGCTAGTCCTCAGGTTCATGATGGTCGGGTAATGCAGAGGCTTGCAAATGGCCACGTACCGATCCACAGACATCACTGCCATGAGGAGGAAACCTGCTGCTCCCAGAAATAAGAAGACAAAAGCTTGTATGAAACAGGCAGGAAAGGAAATCGTTTGCGGGCCTAAAAGAAAGATGACCAGCAACTTAGGAATAACAGAACTTGTGACACAACACTCAGTGAATGAGAAGATGCTGAGGAAAAAGTACATAGGTGTCTGGAGCCGGGAGTCCGCACAGGTGATGGTGACTACGACCACATTGCCTGTGAGGGAAGCCAGGTACGCCAGCAGGTGCACCATGAAGAGGACCTTTCCCACGTGCTGGACAGCAGGAAACCCCTCCAAGGTGAATTCTTGGACCATTGTCCCATTCCCCATTTCTGTGGTCATCTCTTTCCTTTGCGGCATCACCTGCTGGTCTTAACCTACAGTAAAGAGATCACAGCTGGCTCTGAAGTTTTAGGCGAACAGAAGATCAAGTTATTTGACTACCTGAGAATGTGGCTAGGCAAGTAGCAAAGTGGTCCAGCGAATTGTTTCTTGACTCGGAAGCACCTCAGTTCAATACTAATCTCTAACCCCTGAGACAGGTCATCTTTCGAAAGGTAGTTAACCTTTCTAAACTTCACTTTCTCCCTCCGTACAATGAAGGTAATAAGATCTACCTGTTCATGGTCTTGCGCGAAATAAGTAAGATAAAGCAAGTAACTCACTTGGCATGGGATGCCAATGTTTCCTATGTGTTCCTCAAAGTCTAATTGGAATATTATGATCATTAAGATGCTCCTGTATCTAGCTTGATCACTAGACAGTGGTACTAAAATTTTCTTAGTTATAAAACTTTCATTTGTTTTTCAATATTATCAATTTGTAAATAAACATAACAGTAATATAGGCAATATTCTCTTTGAATATTCTTTTTAAAACATGCAACAAATTCTCTGGTCCAGGTCATCATCAACATCATCATCATCGTCATCATCATCATTAGTTGAGAACTTTACTCAACTTGGTCCTGTGCTGCTCACTGAAATTCAGTATTTCTTTCCTCCCCACAATAATCATGAGGGTTTGGTTGCCCCTACCCCCTCTTCTACTGAAGCAGAAATTGAGGCATAGAAAGGTAAGGTCACAAGGCTGGGACTTTTGCTACATCTGGCCAAATTGCAAGCCCCTGCTGTTTCTAAATGATGTGACAAAATATTTTAAAATAGGAACAAAGATTTTGTTGCTGATCTCTCAACTTTAAATGAAAGGTTAGCTTTATTTACCTTACTTTTTGTATCCTTAAGTTAATATCATTGATGAATTACTGACCTACAGAATGACACAGGCCCTAGAGTTGATTAGCTTTAGCACAATCATTTTGTAGAAGAGGCTGGAGACCAGAGACATTGGGGAGCTCAATAACAGCGTATAAGTTGTCAATCCAGGACTTACTCCACTTTCCTGAGCTCCATGCTGGCGTGTAAGAGGGATGGGGAGTGACAGGAGTCACAGATTAGCTCTCTTAGGAAGGATATTCTGGGAAGATGGCCCCCATGCACTCACTCTTACATCAAAGCCCAATGAACGCTCTCCTTCTCCCTTCAGTTCACTCAAAAAATCACTTCACCATGTTGGGCTCTCTTATCTCAACACCAAGCTGAAGGTCTGCAGTGTGAAATGTGTCTCTCTCACTAACCTGCCATGAACCAAGTTCTCCAAAGTGCTGCTCATGCAACCAGAGTCCTCACCTCTGTGTGACAATGCCAAGAGGGCAGCCTGAAGGGGCCTCTGCCTCTGCTCCAGTTGACAGCAGTGGGCCCACGGAGCTACCCCATTCCCTGAAGCCAGGAACATGCACAAGTCAACTCACTGGGGCATGACTTCCTCCTCTTGTAACTGTTCTCTTCCAGGAAATCAAGAGCTTCCTGTGGACTCAGGGGAAAGGGGAGTAAAAGGAAACTCATTTGTCACAGCCTGTTTTCCCACAGTGGGGTGAATATGGACCCCATATTCCCAGTGTCCCTGGCTGCAAAGCCCTGTTTTAAAGCCCAGAATGTTTCATACCACAACAAGGCTACATGGCAGTCTTAACCACTGAATCCCCACAAAATAGGAGGCAGAATTAAACAACCACATTTCACTGGCCCCGATTCTGGACAAGAACTTGACTCCAGGACTACTCAGGGTTTTGATGAAAGGTCTGGCTCTGCATCCCACAGTGGGTAAATGCCCACCTCACATGCAACGTTGCTGCCCACCTACTCTACCTGCTCACAGGAGCAGGCAGCTTCTCCTGAGTGCAGCCCTCGATCTGCTGAGAAAAGGCTCCTTCTGCTGGAGTTCTCCACTGTCATGGGCGCATCTGCTCCAAGATACGCTCTATTGCACTATGCTCCTCCATCATACCCTCACCTTCCCATGTGGAGAAGCATCCTTGCTCTACTGAATCACTGTCGAGCAGCTCCCAACATGCAGGTCTCAGGCTTCTGTGGTAGTCTTCCCACAAGACTGTGTGTGGTTACCAAGCAGGATGTGCCCAGCCAGTGAGCAGAGAGGGCAGGCTCCCAAACCTCATTAAGAGCTGAGGGGATGGGCACAAAGTAAAGGCAGGGTTGGAACCCTGGGGGCAGTTAATTGGTCACTGTTGAGAACAAGAGTTACTGACACAACCCTTATATTTATCTTTCGATTGTCTGTGGTGGAAATTGGCTCCCACATGTCCAGGCTGTCCTCTGCCAAGATTTTTCAAAGAAATTATGCGACTTAATTTCCCAAGTGTTTCTAAAATCCCAATTTGAATGTTGCTACTGATTCGAGGGAAAAGCCAGACCAAAAGTTTCTACATGTGATGTGTGCACTGAGGCCAGAGCATAGAGGTTAAGAGAACAGATTTCATTGTGAGAAAGAGCTGGATTACACCATGGCTGTTCTCACCTTTTGGGCAAGACACTGGTTTTTGAGGAATGAGATGAGGAAATCCATCTTCCTCTCTCAAACATTCTTCATGCCTCCGCCAACATTATGATTCTTTTCATTGAATATTTTTGTCTGAAGAATATCTTTGTTTCCATTCCCAATCTCCCTGAAAAAGAGAAGCATGCATTTCCCCCTCTTCAGGGAAGGATAGGGAATAATTAGGTGGTTTCTGTGACGTCTCTAACCTGGCCCGTCCCTCTATTTTTAAAAAAACCTCGGAAGTAGCTCTCCAGATTCCTACTAGGATCTTCTTGCAGAAGAGGAAGGAAGAGAAGTGGGCACCAGGGTGGAGAAGCTGTTACCCTAGCAACCACTGGCTTGGAAGGCTGCTTGTCCTCCTGGGTACGTCAGCTGGGCTGAGCGGCAGGAATGATCCATGTTTCTACGGCCTCTGGCTTCTCGTTGAAAGCCAAGGAAGGAGACGAAATTCCCAAAATATATTTTCGGGCAACCTTGGATATGTGGTAGCTGAATGGAGATCTGTTCTGCCTCAATATTTCCTCACCAGTAATGATCGCGCAAAGTCAAGGCAAATGTTATAAAATTTCCCAAATATTCATGTGGCTCCCACGGTCCTACAAATAGACAAAATCATTTCTGTAACATCTGTCCATCCACACACTCTGCTTTCAATCCATGCCAAACCTGGACTGAATGGTCATATTCTCAGTTGGAAGTTAGGGAAAACATGGGAGATGAATTACAGAAACTGGAGCAAAGTGAGACCATAAAGACTACTGCCCAGATAAAGGCCCATTTGCATAGGATTCTTTTAATTTTATTCAGTGCCAGCTTCATGGTGCAGAAATACCTGTGCCACCTGAGCAAGTCCCAATGCCAAGACTGGGAGGAGAGAGGACTGGCATGTATTTGGTGAAAGGCTTACAAAGGGGAAGCTCAGATGGGGTGAACTAACTATATCATGCATCTAGCCTAAGGGGTGCTGACCTGGCACCAAGAAATATTTCAAAGCTTCCTTTGTCTATATTTCTCTTTTCTGGATAGTGCCTTCACAGCTCTCCAATACCCAGTATTTCTTTGTGCTTTTCAATGACACCTTGAGATTTCGTTTGTGAAATTTTTCAGTATTCCTTGTGCTTTGAGGATTTATTAGCTTGTTAATGAAAGAGATAGCTCTTAAAGTTGTGTTTCTGATTATCTAACAACGGAGACAAAAAGCAAACATCAGCTTGTGACTTTCCCTCTGCAGCATATTGTTATGCTTACCACTCTGTCCCTGTGCCACTTTTCAAAAATTAGGCTACACTAATATTCAGAATTTATATAATAAGCATATTTTGGTTTAAAATGTACCTGATTAATATGATCTGTTCATCGAAAAGTTTCGATGTCTTGTATTATATGCCTTAGTAAGAAGACTAAGTAGGGCCTAATGAAAGGTCAATCCTATCACCCATGATATTGTGGGTGATATTGTGAGAGAGACTAGCGGATGCTAAGTTGAACAGGAAATGGGGATTGGGATGGGGAGAAGCAGTGTCAGCAGCCCGAACACCAGTCTGACGGTGGAGTTGCTGTAAAACTGATAATACGTTGAGAACCAAACTAACTCTTCATGAAATTTCCATAAAAAGAAGCCAACAATCCCAATGGGGACCCAGAACACATGAGTTCTGATCCAGAGGGCTCGTTAATATCATACCCAATACCATCCACCATGTGAGGGAAAGCATATTAGTGTAAGTATCTTCCAACCTGGGACCAGGAGGGAAAGATGAGGTATAAGATAATTTATGAGATCTGAATTTCTTATTTTGTTTTTTATTCAAGCAAGGGAAAAAGAAATAGTTTCTTTTTTAATGAAGCTCCCACTATAGAATGATTAAGAGGAATACTGTGGATGGGATAGGAAGAGGTGGAAAAAGCCATCTGTAAATCTCAAAAGAAGCTATGTTGTAAGATTCTGCACCTTCACTTTTATTACTTTCCTGGTGGGATTTCCTGGGTTTGTCTCACCTTTGATGTGTGGAGGCTCAAGGTTTTGGGGAGAACACGTGTGGTTTTAAGTGGTGTCCTTAGTACCAAAATTCCTAAGCACCTTCATCTCAAGACCTTTCCAGCATGAAATGGTGAATGTGACGTTTTGCAAGGTCAAGATTTGACACAAAGTATTGAAGACCCCCCAATAAAATTTGCAACAACAAACTCCTTTGAAATGGGGGTGAAGTTCACATAAGTTCATGCCTCTCCTGATGACACCCTCACAGCTTATTATGTGATACAGTGTTTTACTGTTATGGGAAGGGATCCTTCTTAGATGAGAAGATGAAAGATGTGCAGTGGAGAGAGAAAACTAATTTATATAATCTCCTTTAGGAAATGCGATCCTTTTGGCTGGGCTTGAGACATCACCTCACCAATTAGCGTTATATAGAGGTGTGACATGAAGTCAGTTTCTGAGATTCCTAAGACTCGGTAAACCA